TCAGAGTCCCCCATTGTGGGGAGATGGGCGGGGACAAGTCAAATAAATAATAATAAATAATAATAATTAATTTCACATTATACATTGAAGATTCAGTAGAAAAAAGACAAAAATTACCAGGATTGCATTGGATAGACTGCTTGACGGCAAGCCACTGACTGAGGGCAGTCTTGTCTGTGTGCAGCAATGTCCTGATAATTGCATGTTAACAGCAATATATGCCATATAAAATACTGCCCTTAAAGAACTCCTCTTAAAATGTGGGAGCCAGGAACCTGCTTCTGTAAAAACAAGAACGTATAGACTTAAAAAGACTTAACCTGATCTATATGTTCCCTATCCAGGCTCCAGTTATACTTAGCCTGCCTCTTCCCGAAAACAACTACCTTGGTCTTGGGCTTATTGATGTTCAGGTAGCTCAGGGCACAGTATGAACTAAACCTGCGCAGCAGTCTTCTCATCCCTACCTGGGTGTATGACATTAATACCACGTCATCTGTGTAAAGCAGAATATTTACATGTTTATTTTTAACTTTAGGCATATGCGTATTGGTTGAATAAAGGGACTTTGGGATATTGTTAATGTACAGATTAGACAAAATGGGAGCCAGTATACATCCATGTCTGACCTCTTTACTGGTACTTAATTATCCCTGTTAAGGAACTATGCGCTCCTGTGTGTACCCTCAGGCGTGAGTTTGAATATAATGCCTTGATTAAAGAGAGGAGTCTAGGATCCATGCTGAGGTTTGTAAGTTTCTTCCAAAGAAGGTCCCTATTTATTGAATCAAATGCTGCGCTGAGATCTATAAAAGTTCCAAACAGTTGGCTCCCTTTAGCTGTATATTTTTCTGTTAGATGATGTAAAATAAAATAGTTATCAATAGTGGAGTGACCAGACCTAAATCCAGTTTGCTCTTCGGGTAGCAAACCCTTTTCAATTATCCCATCCTCAGTCTTGTATAAAAGATATTTGGCATACAATTTTGCTACAATGTCAATTAGGCTAATCAGTCTATAATTTGAGGGATCACCCTTATCACCCTTTTTGTAAATGAGGACCACAATAGAAAGCTCCCAATCAACTGGAATTTGACAAGAATTATTCATATGAGTAAATAAACTTGCAAGTAAGGGAGCCCTCCAGTTAATGTGACATTTGAATAACTCAGTGGGTAGAAGAACTTCCCCAAAGAGCCTTACTGGACTTCAGAGTCTGAATGAGTCCTCTAGTCTCCCATTCGGTCACCAGAGACTAGGGTGGGGATGGACTACAGGCCTTCTGTAGATCATTTTGTGAGTCCTCTAATCCACTGCAACTTGAGTGAATCATTGGCTGTAATATTCCTCCCACATGGATGCAGGTATAGGGATTTCCAGGGAGAACCTACATTCCCGCAATATTCCTGCAACTGAATGCCTAAAAAAGATGGGCTTTGGGTTTTTGGCTGCTAACTCTAAATTTAACAAGAGAGAGGACAAATGGTGAGATTTCTTGCACTTGGTAGTTTTCTTGTACTCTTGTCTAAGCACTAGAATGGCAGCATGGTTATTATTTGATGGATAGTTCTGTGCTAAACACATAGCTAGCCTTAAACCTTTTCTCAGGGAATGACACTCTGAGTCAAACCAATGAGGGCCTTTTATCTGAGACCTCCTGTGGAGAGCCTTTTCAGTTAATTTTTTTTCTTAGTCCTGCACTTAGGTTTTCACAGGCTATAAGTACAGAGTCAACATCTGTGCAAGGTGAAGTAATTGTGTCTACAAGAGTCAGGGTTTGATCAGAATTCATATATTCAGTCAGAGCCATTGCATCCCCTCTGGCCCATTTTATCCTTCTGTTCCGGTGGACTTCTAGATGAAATGAAACCTATCTATCATTTGCAGCATAGGGTCTGATTTTGTAAATTTACCAAAATTTACTGTAGTTGGTGAACTCCAACTGCACGGAATCCTTACCAGCACGGTCAGTGATAAGAGATATTGGGGGTTCTAAGACGGCAAATATCTGGAGGCCCCAGATACTTTCCACCTTTAAGGGCCAAGGACCTGTCCTGTAAATAAAACTGCATTATATACATCGGATTATAAATGCGATGAGTAAACACATAAGAGATTTTATAAGATAAGCGCCTTTACCTAGATATTTCTGAAGTCATTTTTAAAAGTGTTACTACTTTATGGCTGATTGTGAAGTGAAAGAAAGGAAATAGCCCTTCTTTCCCTGTTCCTGTTCCTCCTTAAGGAAAATGAACCTGTAATAATAGAATATATCCAGCTTTTTCATTTATCATCTTAATGGCTCTTTAACTTTGTTTTCTCTCTTCCTTATGGCAGTTGGAAAATGTCCTCAATGTTATCATCACAACACCCTTTTCCTTGGAACAGAAGGTCAGGTAACAAATTAAATAACCAATCTCTTGGTTTAAAGTATATATTTCAGTTTTAGAAATTGTGGGAAATGATCAAGTGACTAATTAGATCCTTATGGAAATAATATCAAATAATATAAAGGGTTTCTAGATAAGAAAAGTTATACTCCTACTGCAGAAACATAATTCAAATGAATAAAAATACCTCAACAGGTGGGTATGATTTATTCAAAATGCTTCAACAGATTGGTATGGTTTACTGAAATAAAATGATTAATTTTTGGTAATGATTTCAACAGTTTAAAATGCTGGTGAGAATTTGGAAAATGGAGGACTGTTTCTCCAAGCAGAATTTTATAACTACATATTTTTTCCTCCTATTTCATCTTGTCCTTACACTGTTGAATCCAAAACACCAGCAAAAGCATCTTGATCGCTCGCTCCCTCCCTCCCTTTCCAGTATTTGTAATCCATCCCAATCTTATACCAAACTGCATATGGCTTTATCAGCACTCTGCACTGGCCTGGAAACCTACTGGCAGCCAGTGCCATGGTCTTAAAAATCAGTGTTCCTCTGCTGTAGTGAGATTGTGCCATTAACAGTCTGGATTAGTGTAACAGCTGTAGCTTCCAGGTCCTCTTTAAAAGAAACTGCATGTGGAACTGCAGTTGTCCAGCCAACTGATGATAAGGGATAGGGCTGGTACTAGGACATATCAGCCAAAGCTGGGCAAAGGCTGCCCAGCCATGGCTTCCACCTGCTGATGAAGGAGCCATGATTCTAAGAGGATTCCCCAAGTCATGGACCACTTTTAGGGGGAGTACAACCCTGGGATGAATGTTACTGAATCACTCAGATGTTTATAGTCAAATAGCATTTACATCTTCATAGGGATAATGTGAGCCTATTTTTCCTGTGAGGAAAAATGGGATAATGTGAGCCTATTTTTCCAGTCCTTAATAGCCTCCAAACACCAGTTCAGGACTTCTACAGCATCTTCAGCTCAATCTGTAGTGGATCATCAGTGTACTCATGACACCTGGATGATGTCTCCCAGCAGGTTCATGCAGATGCATTAACTTAGGCAAATTAGGATTCAGAGTATTGGAAAGATGGAACATGAATATGATTTATTTTATTGCTGGCATTAATGTATCCTGAGTGTTTTCTTTTCTTTTTTGGTAGTTCACTGCACATTTCTCTAAGTTGAGCTACTGTTGAAATGTGGGCAACAGAACTATGGATTGAACAGTACGCTTAGATGAGAGAATCTAGCTTCCAGAGAACAGCATAAGCATGACAGCAGTAAAACTGGGCTTTGGTCACACTTCTGGCAAACTGGCCAAAATTGCCAAAACAGAGTGACCCAGGCCTTACAATTAGCAGGAAAAGCTGCATGTGGCATGGGTACAACTAAAGCAGATGTCTTTCTTATTAAAAACATTATGTGAAAGCCTCAATTGATCAAGACCATAATGGGCAGGAAAGGTCAATAACTATGGACCCATTTAGGGATAGCTAAAGCATGTGGAAGTTTTTGATTCAGAAAGTAAGAGGTTTAGGGTTTAGTTAGTCTACAGTAGAGAGCATGTTTATGGAACTATAGAAAGATGAAGGATCTAATATATCTAAAGAAGTCTGCTTGAACTTGTGGGATAACATTAAAAATGCTTAGAAGTGTAAATTTAATTGCAAATGAAAGGGCTAAAACGTTTGTCAGAAAACATGAATTGGAATCATCTAGATTATAATGGTAATGTATGAAATAGCAATACACAGGTTACTGATTGTTGCAGGTTATGCTCCATGAATGGTGATACTGAAAGAATCAGAAATTAATTTTGGAAAAAATGCAATGTTCAGAAAGAATGTGGGAAAGGGTACATTATTCTGTTAGATGACATGAGTGAATTGATGGGTAAGAGAGAATGCAGGAAAAGTTATTGGGCTATTCAGAGGCCCAAAAATAAATGAGAATTGTGACTTTATATTAGCTTGGAAAAAGGCATGTGTGTTTCAGTATGAGGTTTAAGCATAGGTCTTTTCATACATACATTTTTAGCTTATCATTTATTAGTTTATGATAAAAGTCAGAAATAATTAGGGTACTGTTTTGAATGTAGGACAGATCATTATTCAGTAGTGGGAAGAGTGGATACTGGGGAAAATATGCACTTGGAAGAAAAGGAAAAGAAAGCGGGGGGGGGGGGGGACAACCAAAAACAGAACCATTGCAGGAAGATGAAAGTATGAATCTTAAACGAAAAGGTATTTGATGATGTGGGAAGTTGCTTGGAATGGAATGAAAAGAATTAAGTTACAAAGAATAACAGAAGTGCATAGAATTACTCTAATAGGAAGTATGAAAGTGAATGATGAAGTGAAAAGGACCATGGATGAGAAAAAATGCACCTAAGAGAAGAATTGCTGCAAAACTGAGAATGAGAGAATAATACTGAATACTTTCTTGAAAAATGTCATCAAAGTGAGCAAGGAATGTTTAAAACAGAGAAAATGTACTTAGTATAGGTTGTACCTTAGATTGCACCCATAGAGTTTAGTTAGATAGTTTTATAAATATCTTTTAATTTTATTTTAACTTTTAATTAACAGAGAAAATGTACTTAGTATAGGTTGTACCTTAGATTGCACCCATAGAGTTTAGTTAGATAGTTTTATAAATATCTTTTAATTTTATTTTAACTTTTAATTTTATTTTATCCTAGGTTGCTATTATTTTAAGATAGGCTATGTATATTTTCACAGAGCATCATCCTTGTACTGGTCCAACAATACACTTTGATTTGATTTGATTTGAATGTGCATGTAACGGCTGCATCTGTGCATGACGACTGTTAGAATGCTCTTATTATTGCCTTGTATAAAGGGAATGGTATGTAATATATGCAAAACTACAGGAGAGGTTGTCAACGTGCCTGGGAAGTTCTTTGGCAGAATTCTGATTGAAAGGGCATGAGAGATAACAATGAGCAAAAAATTGAGAAGGGCAGTACAGCTTTTTGCCAGGCAGGTAGTATACAAACCAAAATAGCAGGCCATGGAGAAGTGTGTGAATGTGAGAAAGTTTGTTGTACGTGTTGATTTAGTGAAGGTGTATGATAAAATGAATGGGCTTGAGTTATGGAATCTTTTAGGCAAATAGGGAATAGCATGGTTGTGGAATGTGAAGGAGCAGGATATGACATAAGTAAAGCATGCATGAGAATAAATAGAATGTTTAGCAAACAATTCAGCGTTCTGTTCAGGGGAGAACTTTTAAGTTGTGTAAATGCTACTAGAAATGTAATAGGCAGTATGTGGTCTATTGTAAGAAATGAATATTTGTCAAAAGAAGCAAAATGGCTGTGTATAAGAATATGCTTCTGCCTACTTTATTATATCAAGGGATTGCCTCAAAAACCATACTTAAATAATGTTGATTAATAGTTCCTCATCAAACTGGAGTGAGGCATGAAGTTAGGTATTTCAAGGTTCTGTTCTAATGACTTGGATAATGAGATATAGGGAACATATATTAAATTCACAGATAACACAAAATTTGTTGAACAACTAATACCCTAGAACACAGAAATAAAAATCTGAATAGGTTATAGAAATGGGCTGAAAAAACAGAATGACACTTAACATAGACAAATGCATTTTTTTCACTTAGGAAACAGGAATCAACTACACAAATTTAGGATATGGAATACCTGTCTTTGTAATTATATTTGTAAAAATAGTGGATTACAAATTTAATATGGTCAGCATTATGATGTGGCTGCAAAAAAGATAAGTTCAGTTTTAGGTTGCATCAACAGAATCATTGTGTTTAAATATCAGGAAGCAATTGTTCAAGTAGATTTTCCATTGATCAGACTCCCCCACCTCCCACCTTCAAGTACTGTGTCCAGCTGTTGGTGTTATATTTTAAAAAGAATTAAAAAAGACTGAAATGTTCAGAGAAAGGCAACAAAGACGATCAAAGAACTAGAAACTAAATCCTGTGATAAGAAATTGAATGAAATTGGAATTCTTAGTTTTGTATAACCTACCTAAAATAATATTAAGGGTCGTTTTTTTAAGTTATATTGATAGTGGAGTACAGTATATTAACTGATTATGCATCATCGGGTCTGTGCTGACTCTCAGCAATCACACAGACAGATTTTCTTCATGATGCTTTGTCCCCAACTTGGCCCTCCAGCTCTCCCAATAAATGCACCCATTGCCATTGCTGCTGATTGTCCTCTTTTTCTCATTCCTTCTGCCTTTTCCACCATTATGGACTTCTCAAGAAAGTTGGCTCTTTGTGTAAACATCCCACAGTATTTGATAATTTGAACCTGAGTGAGAATTCGTGATAGATTAGTTTTATGACCCATTGTTTTTTGGCTAGCCATTGTAGAAGCACACTGATATTGTTCCTAAATCTTTGCTTTTTGTTGGTTTCAACTTTTGATCCTTAATAACCAGTTTTCAATTAGGAACAAAGCATGAAAAGGACATTCTATTTTCTATAAACTATGCTGTGATTCACTGATCTCACTTCAACAGTGCAGCATGGAATTTCCTCTTGTTCTTAATTAAGGCAATCAAGAAATGTGTTGTATCAGTCATTGACAGGCCGTATGACATGATAATGAAAGCTAATTTTAATTACCACATATGAGTCACCGAAAGGATCTGTCTCAATGACTCAGTGAGGAACTTAGTTAATCAGAGAATTAAATTATTGCTGCCTTACCAGGAAAATCCTTTTTGAAAGACAAACCAGACTGGCTTCCAATAAAAGAAAAGTGAATGAAGTAAATGTTTGATACAGAGATGTTTAAAGCCTGAAATGTGCATCTCATAGCAAACAGGTAACCTACTCATACCACACTCTTCCTTTGAGAGAATACAGGACACAATTCAGAAATCAGGTATATGTGGGCACCAGTAGTCTCATGGACACTTGCCTCTTTTAGAACCCAACAGCTTTCCATCCACATTCCACTACTGGTAATATTTTTTTACAGTCCCCAAAGGAGAAGCTTGTTTCTGCAAAACGATGTACCATCTCTAGTTTCAACTGTTTCCAAGAATGACTCCAGACCTTACATACAGTAGGCCCCAGAGGCATTCCTAAAAAATAAAAAATAGTGGATGACTACAATCAGTGCTCCTCTGAAAGTGTGCCCACCTGCCCAGTAAAAAGACAAAAGGTGAGATGGGATGGTGGAGAGTGTCCTGGGACAGTAGGAACAATCTCAACAATTTGCCTTCTGATACATGCGTCTTTTGCCTTTGCCTGCATCCACCATGACAATCATTTTATGGATATGGCAGCTCTTGGGGAGAGCCTCCACCAAAAGTTTTTCCATCTAAAAAAGGCTTCCTACATTCTTGTACTGGATTTAAAAGAATTGTAAAGCTTTTCACACAGTGAAGGTTGCTATGAGTTATTATTTATATAGGCATAAAAAATTAAAATTAAGCACATTCAGTGTTGTTGATCTCAATAGGATTTTGAAATAAAGCTTAGCACTGGTGTGATCACAATACATTTAACAAGACAAAATACTCCTGAATGATTATATTAAAAATATTAAATGTATAATACTACCCAATTAATGAATTTGCTCATAAACTCTAATCTGCCAGCTATTGTTTATTTTGTTATTTATATAGTTTTATATATGATTTTGTTTCTGTTTCTCTATCATGTAAACATGCATGAAAAATAGAAATTAGAGCTAAAATGAGTTTCTTTCCGTGATTTTTTTGCCATATGGATTACCTTTCCACTTGATCCATAAGGATGTTTAGAAATGACCTAACATTTTCAAAAATGTTTCCTAAGATACAATGAATGGAGGAATCATGAACACATGGAACTACTGTACAATTGAATGCCTTGATCTTTTGAAACATTTACACAAAGCCACAACTACATTGCCTGAAAAGTAGCTACTGTACTCAGTTGATCAAAAATGCAAAATAAGAGAAATAAAACAGTTTGCCAGTTTATGATGGTATAGTCCTGAATTTTTATTTAATGATGCATTGCAGAAAACAGATACAGGATACTGGTAAGTAATAAACGATATATGAGAAAACCTTTGAGATCTGTAGTATTAAAAATGTATGGTCATGTCTATATGATTTTTTTTTTACTTGTGATAGTCAAATATTTTCTTCTCCTTAAACCCCTCTATTTTCTCTCGCTTCACCTTAATTTAAGTAGTGTTATTATTAATAAGGCCCAGTAACTACTAATGATAATTTTATATAGTTTCCCAGAAAACCCACATGCTGCAATCTTTCCATCTCTCAAATCCATTCTCAGGACATGCTTCTTCCATTATGAGTTTCTAGAATTGCACATAACCATATTTTTCATCAATTTCCCCCTATTATTGATTCATTGACTGGCTTTTCTTTATGAGTTCAAGGCAGCACAGTTTGAAAGGAAGGGAATGAACTAGGAAGTCATCGCTGGATGGAGTTGATGAGACCCTTAAAAAGAGAGAGGTCCAAAGTTTAAAGAACTAAAGGTAACATACTGATAGCTGGGATGATTTGCAAGGATAGAAACATTTAGAGAGGTATGGTGAATAGGGTTGATATAAGTTCGTTTTAACTATATTTCCTTTTTAATATTTTTGTTATCTCCTTAATTTCTTTCTTTTAGTATTTCTTGTTCCTTTTCTGCACTCTAACATAATATTGCCTACCCTGAAAGAAAACAATGTGATACATTCATGCAAGCATTTTCCATTTAATAAATTGGGAGAAAAAAACCACTTAAATACACTCCTTCCTTCTTGGAAGCATTTCCAATATATGCTCTACTTACTGTTAAGAAGACGGAAGTCTATGAATGGGTAGGAACCACGTCGCTCAGAAAGAACCCCTATCTGACCTCTCAGACGTGCATCTCCTGCAAAATATAATTGGGCCAATATTAGAAATACTTTTCCCCCCAAGAAATAAATAGTAACCATTATTTAAGAGTAAGATCAATTCAGAATGTTCTATGTAGAATATAAAGTTTCTAAAAGAAAAAACTTTATAGATTTATTAAACATATTTTTATACTGCCATGGAAAAACCTCCAATGCCTCCAGTACTATATAAAATACAATAAAACATAGAAAACAAAATAAGTTGGTTAAAAAATTATAAGCACTGCCATGAATAATGGAAGAGTACTATGATGAAGTATCAAATGCATATGCAAATAAAAGTATTTCAACATATGCCTAAAATAATAAACTTTTCTCTACAAACAAGCAATCCTTTTTCAATATCCAGAGGTTTTCCAGGGTAGACAGGGTTGAGAATTCTGGATCTATTTTTTAAAAAATTCGGGGTGGTTTCAAGAGATATGAGTATTCCACTTACATCACTCCTTAACCTTCCAGCTGCACAAAATTGATTTGCTTTTTCCCATCTTGACTGTTATACCCCCCCACCCCCACGAAAAACGTGATCTGAACTCTTGGTTCCTCCCACTTCAGTGATATTATCTCTTCGCCAGGCTCTCTGTGGCTTCAAGACAGGAGAAGTGCAGACACCCTTGTCCCAATGGTTAAGTCTAGATGATTAGTTCTCATTCTTCTTCTCTGGTAGAAAATGCTATATATTGGACTATATGCTAGGGATTATGGGAATTGTAAGAAGACAATTGTTACCAGCTAGGGAACACTTTCTTTCTTTGATTTTAGTCTGTTAGTTATGCAGCTGTAGGGAAGGTGGAATACTCTGTTGATAGCTTCCCATGTCTGGAACATCAGTGACAGACAAACATAATATAAAATCCAACATTTAAACCTCTGCGCTGCTTGGCTAGAGCTCAGTTGTCAAAGCAGAAATACTATTAGATCTGGACCAGGAGAGTGGTGTGGGGAAGATTTAAAACCTGTAATATTATTTCTTTCCTTTCCCCACCTTTTCTTCCTTTCCAGCCATTCTAATTGTCACATCTCCTGTTCCTACCATCACACCATCACCTCATCTTCTAGCTCCTCCAGAAAAGGCTATCTGTAGAAAACTCAGGCTTACTGAGCTGAATCCACGTGCTAGCTACAGGACGGATGTGCTCTTGTTGTAATAGGATTGAGCTAGCTTATTCTGGTGCTGCCTTTGTGACCTGAGGGGGCACTGATGGGGCAAAAAAAGGACCTGCTAGGCATTTGAGCTTCCTGATATAATCCAGCTTTAGGAAACATTTTTAAGATTTCTTCTGACGGAACTAGCTCAAACACATTTACATTTTTCATGTAAAAATGGAAATTAGAAGGATTCAAATGGGTAGGATCGGAGCCAAAATTTCTAGCACTTAGGACTGTGAAAATGTGCTTAAGTGTGACAATTCCTTCCAAAGCATTAAACATGGGTGAACTTGAAGATGCTTGGTAGAAATCCTGATAATTGGATATTAGTACTCAGGTACATTATGCAACGTTTTGCCCCAACTAATGATTACCAGAAGGAAAATAAAAGCTGAAAATTAATGTATGGAATTTAGCTTCTGAGGAAAAAGAATGTTCCCTACTTTGTGCATGAGGGAATAGGGTGGCTGTCTTGTTTTAGTGCAGAGAACATGCAGTGAGATATAACTAAATTGCTCACTTAGCAACAGATAATGCATGGGGTTTCTATGGCAACTTTGCAGCTAGGGCCTTTGTTAAATATTTCTAAAATGTTACATTATTGTCATGCATTTTATTAATTATGTAATTAATACATAATTGTCAGCCCTTCCTCTATGTTATAAAATGTTCATGTATCAATACGCAGACTGGAACTGGGGGAAGAAAAATGTGGTTATCACTGACATTTTGAGGAAAAGATCCAAACCTTCTAGCAGTTCCCTGTCAAAAGTCATCTCTCAGCCACTGCTGCCTCCTTCCATTTTTGAAACTCTGGTGCCAGACTCCGACCTTCTTGGTCGCATCAAGGAACCTGTTCTTTTCATTCTTCTCAAGGCACTCCACATAGATTTTAACAGATGAAATTTCACAAATAGTAATGAAAACAATGTATCAGCAGCATGCAATTTTGCCTGCTCAGCTTTTGCTTGATTCAACCACTGGCCTCATAGCAACCTTTTTATTTTCTGCTGTCAGCACAACTAACTCAGATGTCCACTTTTATTTCTCAACAAGACAAAAAGCTGAAGTAATGCCTTTGATAAAGATTGGGTTCAGTAAGGAATGTTAGCCATGGGAGGAAAATAGAAGGAAAGACATAACCTTGGAAAGAGGAGAGATAAAAGAGGTTAATTACAAATCTGAATTAGAAAAGTAAAAACGAAAGCATTACTTTAGGCCATGATCTGTCAGAAAATAATTCAGGGAAAGAAAATCTCTTATCAGAAAGCCAGCGGAACTTTGGCCCTGGAGGAGATTAACTATGTGTGACAAGATCATGTTGAGTTCTAAGCAAATGGCTTTTCTTTCCAAGCACATCTGTACAAAAGGACTTAAAAATAAATGTCCCTCAGACTAAACTGTTCTATATACATAACATAAAAAATCCTGTTTGGCTGAAGTGGACTGTGCTGCTTTAGGATGTAAATTGAGAACTTTCCTGTTTAGGCAGTTAAGTCTAACAGCCAAAAACATGGAAGAAAAGCGGCTGATGTGAAGATATTTTTGTTTTCACATAAGGGGCTTTATCGGCACCAGAATACAAAGATGTGATTATATTATCTGTAGCTTGAATCTACCTATACAGAATAGTGATGTAGGATGACTACATTATACCATTCCAAAATAAAGGTAGAATATGAAAATTTTGGATGCACTCTTGCATTTAAGAAAGGACACTACAGACTTGCACAGCATGAAGAGAGCTGTTTTTCACTTTCACATACTTGCCAGGTGTTACTGGTTTTCATTCATATGATGAAGCATACACACAAAAAGAGGAGGATGGCATCTTCCAGAAACACTTGCAAAGGATCTTAGCCCAAAATTATGGTCTGTAACACAGAACTAGTTGATCAACTAGTGAATGCTGTTCCAATAATGGATTGTCAGATTCAGCAAGACAGTGTCAATCAATGTAATTCAGGCAACCACGCCCTCCTTAGTTCCCTCAAATTCTTGCAAATACCTTTTGTGAATGTGGAAAAAAAAAATTAAAAACTATCCTACAAATCATTTACAACTTGTAACAACTTGTAACATTTACAACTACTGTATGTCATTTCTTCTGGGCTTGTGGATTTTCTGAGTCACATATTGTAGCATATATTATGCACTGTGATTGTGCAATTAACGCAATCTGTACCCAATAACCTCTGTATAACCTCTTATTAAAGATAAACTTGGTGGTTTTCCTTTAGATAAATGAAATTGCTTTTTTTTTTTCCTCACACAACCTCTGCTGGAATTACAGCTGCGTTTTACAGGGCCTCAGTGATCATTAGTAATCTTCTCCCTTTTGGTTAACAGGATTTCCCCACTTTAAATGTCAATTAGTGTGGGAGAAGAGAATTCACCCATGTCTATGGAAGATGATGCCCGTATACAATCCCATCACAGTGTATTTGGTGACAGTCTAACAGCATGTTAACCTACATTTTTGAACTATGTGCCACTTTTCTTTGGGCCTAAGCCTTGTCTATTTCACTGATGTTTGTGTGTGTGTAGGAAATACTCATGCTATATATGTTAACATGGACAAGAGGGGATTGGTTAAGGATGCCTCATTTCACCTGACTAAAGAAAGACATCTTATAGGAAAGAAAAAAGAAAATGGGAAAAGAAAATCCAGCCAAGCCAACTATAAAACAGGTTGACTGGAAGAGTAAAATATGCTTTAGGAAAAATGAAAAGCTAAAATTCAGTTATATAAGTATCTTTCTAGAGGGGCATCAGCTGATTAAAAAAAGAATATGATACAAACACATTTAAAATTACATTCAGTTTTTCACACATACAAACCAACAGTAAGGGAAAGACTCAAAATAGCACTGAGCAGCATGCAAAAAAATGGTGTTCTTGTACTAAAAAATGCAAATGTATTAAACAAACATAGGGATATTTGAATTCAACATGACTGGAAAGTATTCCAGCAGGAAATTTATTTATTTATTTATTTATTTATTTGCTTACTTACTTATTTATTTATTTATTATTTCAATGTATATGACTGCCCATCTCAAATACATAACTCTGGGCAACTAACAACAATTTCAGTAAAAGCTATATAAAAAAATAACAACAAAAATAAAATTGACAAACCATACTAAAAAAACCCATATGTACACAAACATATCAGGACCACATCGGTGCTCTAAAGCATTCTGATCCTGGTGTAAGAACATGTTTTCAAATGAAATGGCCTGGTTCTAAGAAATCAAGCAAACTGAAACAACTACCCAGGTTCTGATGTCATCAGTTTCAAATATGTTGCCTTCTAAAGTGAATCAGCTCCAGCAGAAAGGAGAGAGGCATATTTCAGTAATGAGTGTGGTATTGCACTTATTCCAACTGCAATAAAATGGCACAGTGAGTTTTCTCCCTTCCGTTTTGTTCTCCCCCCCCCGCCCCCTTTGCCAACTAACATATAACATATCCCGATGTCAAGAAGATGCTGTAATATCTGGCTCTTGCACAGCTTCTGTATTACCATTGCTACCTGTTGGAAAATCAAATCTTTAATTTTGTTTATTCTTCCAAGTGCCATCTGCTTTGGGAATGATGGTGGTGACAAGACTTCTTATTTCAAAACACTAGAAAAATATTCTTCTATCCTTCCTCCAATCATCTGGACTGGATCCTCTTTTTATTTGGGAAACCCCAAATCAGTGCTAAATCTACAGGAATTGAATATTTAAGTTGTAAGACTTGGGTTTCTGCAGAACATTTGGTAATGAAGGAAAGTAATACCTTGGAAAATATGATACTTATAAGTAATTCTCGTCTA